TTCCATTTCTTTGCAAGCTAACCAACACTGTTGCCAACCTGATCAGTGGAAAATATTTGTTTTAGAATATATGTGTGTATTAGTGTGATTGAGTACTTTTTAAAATTTGGTTATCAGTATATCTTTTTTTTTTAAAGTCATTTTATTGGGGGCTCATACAACTCATCACAATCCATCCATACATCAATTGTATAAAGCACATTTGTACATTTGTTATCCTTATTCTCTTTTTTTAAAAAATTATTTTATTGAGGGCTCTTAACGATTCTTATCACAGTCCATACATCCATTGAGTCAAACACCTGTTGCCCTCATCAATCTCAAAACATTTGCCATCTACTTTAGCCCTCAATATCGTTTGCTCGTTTTCCCCCTCCCTCCCACCTACCCCCAGTATATCTTTTTTAAAAAGATATTTGTTCATCTGTAACCCTGATATATTTATTTAATTTAAAAAGATCAGCGTCATCTTTATAACTGAAAAAAGACTGGTTGATGAGGTGGCCTAAGGTAGTAAAACAAAAGGCTTCCTTATTTTGAACTTGGAGTTAGACGCGCTTGTCCTCCAGTTGGTGTTTTATAATGGTCCATCACCGTACTGCTTCTGGTCCGGTTCTGCACAGAGGAGGTTGACGGCATGAGACAGACCAGAATGCTTGCTTTTGTGGGCTCTCTTGGTGCAACAGTTCAGTGCTTAGCTGTTACAGATAACTCACCCATTTGCTAAAGAAAGAGATCTGGCAATCTGATCCATTAAAGATTCTTCTTTGTTCCCTGTCCCCCTTCCAAAAACCAAAACCAACCACTGTCCTTTAGTCAAATTGGGCCCATCATGACCCCAGATAGGCATTCCAAGATGGCAAGTCTCTATGGGAGCAGACAGCTTCATCTTTCTCATGAGATAAAGAAAAACTTATCAAGCAGTCTTACTCTGACATGTAGGATTGCTGTGAGTAGTAAATGATTTTCTAGGCACCTAGCAAATAAGAGTAACAGCTTCCAAAGAAAGTGAGGGGATGGGGTGCTGGCTTTGTAGTTCCTTTTCCAAAGTCAGTGATCAGTGAGTGCCCTTTTCTATGGGCAGTAATTGAGACAAAGGAACAAGAGTGTGGGGAGGAAAATCTTCCATATGAAAAAGTGACTGGCCTCTTAGGTCCATTGTAGTAATGCTAGGAAATTACTCCAAATTATATTTCATATCTCATATTCTCAAGTCCTATTATGTAATATAGTTTGTCAAATAGTTTGTGATGAGGTTAAATTTTAGTATTGATCACATGGACATAAACATTCCAATTACACCAAACACAAATATTCTGTTAATAAAGTGACTAAATATAAATATCATAAATGCCCCAATATATTTTTTTCCCCCTTTGGTGTGAAACAATTTTTTTAATCGTTTTATTAGGGGCTCATACAACTCTTACCACAATCCATACATATATCAATCGTGTAAAGCACATTTGTATTTTCATTGCCCAGATGCCCCAATATTAAATATAAACTCCCCATTATTTATTCCTGTGAGCAATTGAGCTGCAAGATTTTTAAAAGTCAATAAAAATTGGGCAGTTGTGTTTTTGAGTTAAAGTTCAAGAGTGTTGAAGTCTGAAATAAAAAGATTTTCCTTCTAAAGTCTGAAGGAATACAGTTCAGAATTCTTTGTGGCTACATTTTACTCATTTTAGCTGAAAGTTTTTCTCACTGTCTAGGTAGAATGGGGCAATTTTGATGCTTCTGAAATAAAACAGCTATCACATTGCAGATACGGTTTCTGTTAAACTTTATATTTCCATTCAGTATTGAAGCCCAAGGTTTTTATGTAGTCAGGATAACTTTAAAAATTTATGTCCTTTCTTGATTTTATGATTTTAAATGTCTCATGATTTATAATAAAGTGGTTATACACTGGGTTGCGAACTGGAAGGTCAGCAGTTTGAAACCACCTACTCTGCAGGACTGTAAACAATTACAGTCTAGGAAACTCACAGGGGCAGATCTACCTTGTCTTCTAGGGTCACTATGAGTTAGCATCGACTCAGTGGCAGGGAGTGTGATTTTTATTCCCTAGTTCTTTTTGTTTTCTGTTACATCAAATAGTTTGTATAAAATGATTTTATTAATACCAGCAATATTTTGAAACATATTTTCCACTTTGTTAAGGGAAAAGTCCCATAATATTTTCTGTTGTGTAGCTTTTATAAAACTCAGTATTTACAGAGTATATTTTAATCAAACAGTAGATAATGCTTACATGAATATGATCCACTTGGTCACGAGTCAGACCATTTATTGAAGTTTTAAGGGGCAGTAAGTTTGGGCAATATGGTCTGGTTACTGTTGGACCCTGCAGCTCCCCTGAAGCAGCACATACAGTTTTTTCTTTCCCACAAGAGTTTCACTTATTGGCCGTACTTACTCACAAAATTTTCTTTTATGCTAAAAGTTTTTTTACTACATTAGTTTTTCCTAACTGTATATGCTCGAGTATAAGCCAACCCGAATATAAGCCGAGTTTTCCAGCACATTTTAAATGTAGTTTTTGTGGTAAAATTAGGTGCCTTGGGTATATACGAGTATATACAGTAATTTTATCCATATGCAAATAAAATACACATATATCTATCTAAAATTATGGAAATGAACATAAGTATTAGTATTATGTATTGTGTATTTAGTATTATGTTTTAGAAATAGAATACTATTAGTATTCAAGATGCCCATTCTTGGTCACATCCTCCTTTCAACTCCTCTTCCTTTGATAATAACTTTACATAACATTTAAATCTGCTTTTGGATTTTAACTTACCAAATTTGATTTATTTATTTTTCTATAAATTGATCATTGCCACAATTTATTAGATTCATATTTTACTTAGACTACTGTGGTGGCAGATACAAATCTCAAGCTTAGTTTTTAATATTTAGGTTATGCTTAGCTAGATGATCATGCTTACTGACCACCTTGCTAGACAATGAAAGTAAACAAAGATACAATGTGATACATAGTAAAAAATGTATATCTCCCACCTGGTTTACAATAAGCAATTTATTTACTAAAAGAAAAGTAATATTATAGCTTCTTTATTTGGGGACCAAAAACAACACTGCCATCCATTGAGTTCCAATTAACAGCAACCCTATAGGACAGGGTAGAACTACCCTTTGGGTTTCTGAGACTCTTTACTGGGGTAGAAAGCCACATCTCCCATGTAGCAGCTGGTAGATTCAAACTGCTAATCTGGTGGTTAGCAGCCCAACTGAACCCTGGTGGCACTGTGGGTAGGATGTTGGGCTCCACACTGAAAGTTTGGTGGGTTCAGACCCAAGCTACTGGGTCTGGAGAAAGATGAAACTGTTTAGGGCTGTAACAGATTTACAGTTTTGATGGGATGTCAGTGAGTTCGGTTTGGTTACTATGTTTGTATTCAGGATAGGGATAATGTTGTTAGTTCCATCAAGTCAGTTCAACTCATAGTGACTGTCTTTATAACACTGCTGGTCCTCTGCCATCCCACAGTTGTTACATTTGAGCCCTCTGTTGCCGCCTGTGTGTCAATCCATCTAACTGGGTGGTTCTTTTTCAGTGAGTTTACTATTTCCAAGCACCACGTTCTACTCCAGGGACATGTAGTGATCCCATGATATTTCCATGCAGTTTTTTAAAATCATTTTAATAGGTGCTCCTACAACTCTTATCACAATCCATACATACATCAATTGTGTAAAGCACATTTGTATATTCATTGCCCTCTTCCTTCTCAAAACATTTGCTCTCCACTTAAGCCCCTGGCATTAGGTCCTCATTTTTCCCCCCTCTCTCCCCGCCTCCCCCTCCCTCATGGGCTCTTGATAATTCACAAATTATTATTTTGTCATATCTTGCCCTGTCTGACGTCTCCCTTCACCCACTTTTCTGTTGTCCGCCCCCCAGGGAGGAGGTCACATGTAGATC